TTGCCGTCAATTTATTGACATTTGGACTAGGGAATTCGATGTTGGGACATTAATCGGTAATTTCTTATTAAATTTCCTTATTTTCTCGGTATATTTTTATTCTAGAATTATAATAATTTCGTGTTTGTGTGTGAATTTTATTTCAGATGTTATGGAAACAGTTTTAAGGATAGGGACGATTTCGTGTATTAGTAGTGATGCATTTGAGGATGACTTGTGTCATGTTCATTTCGAGCTTTGTGATGCCAGGTTATGTTATCTCACAATATTCTAAATTAATGCTTGATATTGTTTTCGCTTTAGTTATTTTGTATTTAATTTGTAATTGTTTTGATATATTATGAGGGAAGGTGTGATTGTGTGTATTGCAACGGGTGCTCTTGCTAGAGAATTCGTTTAGGCATATGAACAAAACAACCATGAGGCCGTTGTTTGTGCACTTAGGTTCTGGCGGGTATCCGAAGGAGAAGGTATGAACTAATGTGTTATAATTAATATGTTATATTGATTTTTAGAGAGTTTCTAGCTTATGAGTTTTTATACTGTATTTTGAAATAGGTGTGGACGCGAGATCAGTTGTACTGCGGTCTCAGTGTCCATGTTCTGAGTTCATGTTTGATCCTATTGATGATTATATCCGAGAGTTTGGTGATATGTAAGTTTATGTTTTCTGTTTTATTGTTTAATTTAATGCATAAACGAATATCGTTATACTGATAATTTATTTAATGTCTTGCAGCCGTAGGACTCTTCGTGTGTAGTACTATTCGCCCTAATTGTTCTATGGGTGGTTCTGTGCTTAATATGGCTGGATGCTAGCCTCTTCCACAACTTCTATGTATTAAATTATTTATTTTGCGTATTGGTGTTGTTGGTAAAACTATCCGGTTTCTTATGACTATGTTTTGGATTTGTGTTATTTTTTATTTTATTCTTGACGATGGTTGTTATTTTCATTCGGCTTATACGGTTGTAGAATTTTAAACTCTTAAATTAAGTATTGCGTAGTCGTATTTGTTTGTGTCTTTAGTTTGCTTACTTTTGCATATTAAATCACGGTGAATAATCGATTTAGTTATTTAATGAATGGCTATGTGTGGCTCTTTAACATGAGCTAAATTTCTTATCCAGGTGTTATATGCTCTGTGTATTGAATTATATTTAATAGTAAGATTGTGTTTAATTATTAAATTATTTTATAACTTGGAATTTTCTTGTTTGTTTATGAATAATACATTTGATTGTCGTTTATGAAAATATTGTTTAGGTAGCTTAAGATGGTGATATTGCTATTGTGAAAATTCCAGTATTGTTATATGCAACTTTGCAATTTCTATGAATCATTGTTGTAGAGCATATGTAAATAATTGAGAAACAGAAAATTCTAATTGTTAAACATTTTTAAATCTAATATATGTTTTGCTTGATAATAAAATCATAAGGTTGATGATTTTTTAAATAATAGATATTTGTAGGCAGCTTCCTATCTATTTGGAACACTAAAAAACCTTAGCTTGTCTTGATTACGAGAATAATATTGTTTTCAACTCCGTTATAGAGGAGTGTAATGAATATGCACTAACTGTTATTATTATGTTATGGTCCATTTAGAAATTTTACTTTTTTATCTGATGTGGATTTATCATTTTTTGATTCGAATAAGTTTAAATTAATTAACTATTCACTGAATTAGCACCACTTCGTCTCGAGATGATCATAATAAAGACAAGGAATATGCAGCTGAAAAGGTATCAATTTCTTATATGAGGAAATAAACTGCTAGAAAATTGTTGGTGCCTGTTCAGATCTTCTATATGTTATTATCTAGGGTTCTTTTTATCCACTAGTCTTGCTCTTTTTTTTTTTTTTTTTGAAAGTATCTTTCCTACAATTCGCTATGAGTTCTTTTTCTGGTTTACAAATTGGATACATTGAAAAGTCAGCTTGTGTTAAGGTTCTCCGTTTTTGGAAGCAGATAAACTTCTTTTGGCGAACTTTGGAGCTGATACTTTGTGATGATCAGGTAATAATTTAAATAATTTAATTGAAATTTTAGTTCGCCTTGCATGTAGATCTTCTTGCTCTGATTTCTGATTTTATGGAATTTTATTTTTGACTAGGGAACCCAGATCTCGGCGATTATCATGCCAGATAGACTGCTGGTTTTTGAAAACTGCTTTAGGTAAGGTTCCTGGTATGAGCTATGTAGATTTGAATTGAGGCGGGAGTGTGGATCCATGGTTTTGTCTGATTACGAACAAAAGATCCAGTTTTGTCCTTCGACTAGAGTTAGGAGATCTGAGGACGGCCCTCCTGGATTGTTTTTGAACTGTCGTCGAATGATTGATATTCGCACTAGGGAATTTGAGGCTGGATCTTTAATCAGTATGATTTTTTTTTTTTTTTGCTATAACTTTCCAAAATATATTTATTGAATATTATAGTGATTGCATGTGTGGTAAATTGAAATCTTTCAGATGTTATGGGGACCATTGTAAGGATTGGAACACTTCAGGATATTAATAATGATGCCTATGAAGAAGACTTTTGTTTTATTCGTTTTGAACTCAGCGATGCGAGGTAATTTTATTTATAATTTGCTCTTCGTTGACAATTAGGACAGCGTACGTTCGTTGTGTTTTAATAATTCTTATTTTAGGAAGGAGGGTGTGGTCACTTGCATCGCCAGAGGAACCTTTGCTAGGGATTTTGTTTGTGCGTACGAACAAAATCTTTGTGAATCAATAGTTTATGTTCTGAGATTCTGGAGAGTATCCATTGGTATAGGTGAGAATTTTATTAGTTTCTGTTAGAAAATGTATAATTATTGTGTTAAGTTTTTTAAAGGTGTTTCATCTTGCACAATTTTGATTTGGTGTAGGCACAGACGATAAGGGAGTTGTTTTGCATTCTCATTACCCATGTTCCGAGTTCATGTTCAATCCTCTCGACGATGATGTTCGTGAGTTTCAGCAGATGTGCGTGTTTCTGTCTTATTATTTTGCTTCTGTTTATGGCTTTGCATGATCTTTTTCTATTTGCTAATCTATTAATTTCAATACTTTGTAGTCGTGGTGCTCTCGGTGGTCGGACTATTGGAGGATAAGCCAACAAGCATTGGCGGTCTCTAATACGGAACTATAAAGTAATTAGATTTAAAATTAATTTATGTTTTTATTATTTTGCTTTCGTACAATCGCAACATAAGGACAATAATGTGATACTAAGTGTGTTTCTGTAATATATGATATTGTATTTCAAGTTTATTTTTTAACTTTCGTTTAGTTTTTATCAAGTAAAAGATTGAAATGTATAGTATTATTGTTGAAATTATGTTATAATTCAATAGTTCCTGGTTTGAATGATGCAAGACAATATTATATAACACGCATAAATATGAATCTTGATAACTATTAGTTTGGTAAATAAGAATGCCTCAAATATGAGCTCGAATTCATAAACAAATGATATAAAATATTATACAAATAATGACCGGTTATTTTATAAGGTTCTTTGCAATAATAATGTTCATAATAGGCATTTTCGGATAATTCTTCGATACTTAGTATTGGATATTATCTTTTCATAAAACTTTAAGTTTTTGATGCTTTTGATAAGTCATGCACTGATATATGTATATCGAGCTAAAATAATGTTTAGATTGTATACTCTCTTTTTATTGTAATTTTTGGTTGTTTGTTACATATCATAATGTATATATCTTATAAATCTGCATTGATGTATTTATAAAATATTAGATGACCGGTGATACATTAGTGAATATATACATATATGTGTAGTTTATTGTTATCTAAAATATATTACTGATGAAAATATCTGAGATAAATTGAAAATATAAGCCCTGAGAGAACGTTATCGTTGAGATCAATGCGTGTCAGCTTCTTGCACAAACCGAGATCTTCCGGTATGGTCCCTGTGAGAGAGTTGCTTGAGATATCCAACATAGAAAGCTCATGGATCTTCCCAAATGTCCAAGGGATTCTTCCTGTGAACTGATTGTTCCCTAACCTTAAACGATCAAGATTCGGAGATTTCCCTAGCTGAAGAGGTATATCTCCTTCGAATACGTTATCCGTGAGGTCAAAAGAGAGATAAGAGCTCAAACCGCACAACGGACTGATCGAGCCATTGAGCTTGTTGCTGGAGAAATTGATTCTTGTGAGGTTCTTGAGGTTGATGAGTGAACTCGGAAGGTTCCCTTCAAGGGAGTTGTTGTAGATCAAGAACTGTTCTAACAACTTCAAGAACTCGAATGAGGGAGGTATCGAGCCGGAGAGATGATTATCGGCTACATCAAGAATTGTCAGTATTGATTATAATTTTTTTAAATTCTTTACTGTATTAATACAATAAATAATATATTTTACATATTAAAAATCTTGTACTATAACTTAAACCAATAAAATAAAAAAGGATCAAAGTCATATTTTAGATATTTACATAATTCTAAAGTGAAAAAATATTAATTTTGAAAATGTCATGCATACAATAGATACAAATATATGGTATAAAATCAATATATAGTCAAAATCATCAATATAAAATTGATATAAATATATATATATAAATTAAAATAAAACATTTTTTTATTTCTATTACAAACCTTACTCCGCACAATTGTGCGGATAGTAACCTAGTATATTATAATATTAGGACAGTTAAAATCATTTAGAAACTTTTTTAACAATTCAATTCTTGTTTTCTTAAATCTTCTTAATATTTTTGGTAAAAAATCTCCTTATAAAACATATTTTTTTAAAAAAAAAATAACCCAAAAAAAGAAGATCATTTTCAAAACGATTTGGTTCCATTTTTTATCTTGTTTCCGATTCCATTCGTCCCAATTTTATCGAAGCAAGAGAGATATTTGTTTTGTTTTAATTTTCATTTTTGGCGTCGTTTCGAATTTCAAATATTTTAGAAACCGCCGCAACACTTTTCGTCTCCTTAATTCCCCCCGCCTCCCCATATATTAAGCCCTAGATTCTCGAATATACATTCCCCTCTCCATCTCTCTCTTCAAGATAGTTTTTTGAATCTGGGAAACACACAGTCTCTCTCTCTCTCTCCATACCTTTCTCCGATCTTATCTTCGGTCCTTGTTCATCGAAATGGCGCAGCTTCCATGCGACGGCGGCAACGGGAACTGCTCGCTATGCAAGTCGATTCCTCTCCCCGAGGAATCTCTGACTTGCAGCTTATGCGGCACTCCATGGCACGTTCCTTGCCTCTCTTCGCCTCCCGAATCCCTCGCCTCCACTCTACAGTGGCATTGTCCTGATTGTACCGGCGAAATCGATCCGCTCCCCGTTTCCGGCGAACCCGATGGTGGCTCAGAACTTTTAGCCTCGATCCGCGCGATCGAGGCCGACGACTCTCTGACTGACGCAGATAAGGCTAAGAAGAGGCAAGAGCTACTTGGCGGTAAGGCCGATGGTGACGAAGACGAGAAAAAGAGCTCGGGTCTCAATGTTGATGTGTTGGCCGCCTTCGGAGAAAACCTAGAATGCTCTTTCTGTATGCAGTTGCCTGAGAGGCCAGTAACTGTAAGTTGTCACTCTGTATCTAGGTCTCGAATTTTCTCATGGATTGCTTACTTCTTATGAATCTGTTGGGGGTTTTGGTGAATCTGTTGAATCTCCAATTCAATTTAGGCATTTATCTTAAATCGTATATAGACTTAATAGTGCTTATCATTCGTAATAAACTGTATCAGCACTCGTACTTAATTGTGCAAATTCAGCCATTGCGTTGTTGATTCTTGTTTATGGTATGTTGTTGTTCTTGTCAAAGATAAACCATAATGTTATTGCTTTTTTGGGTGAAACTTATATGGTTGTTGCTTTTCGAAATAACAATGTTTTGCAAAGTTGAAAACTACTCGCTGATGGATACTTGTTGTATGTGTATTCTTTTTGTAGACACCATGTGGGCACAACTTTTGCTTAAAGTGTTTTGAGAAGTGGCTAGCTAGAGGACGCCGGACTTGTGCCAAATGTCGCAGTGCAATTCCTGCAAAAATGGCAAGCAATCCTCGGATCAACGCTTCCCTTGTCTCTGCTATTCGTTTGGCCAAAGTTTCCAAGAGTGCTGCATCTGTGGCTACTGCAAACGTTTATCATGCCATTGCTAACCAAGACCGACCGGAGAAAGCATATACAACCGATCGTGCTAAGAAGACCGGCAAGGCAAATGCTGCAAGCGGCAGGATCTACGTGACGATTCCATCCGACCATTTTGGTCCGATACCAGCTGAGAATGATCCTGTCCGAAATCAAGGAGTTTTGGTCGGTGAATCCTGGGAGGATAGGATGGACTGTAGGCAGTGGGGAGCTCACTTCCCACACATTGCTGGTATTGCTGGACAGTCGAAATATGGAGCTCAGTCTGTAGCACTCTCTGGCGGCTATGTAGATGATGAGGATCATGGAGAATGGGTTTCTCTACACTGGAAGGTTTGCTTTTCTTTTTCTCATTGCTCCTTGTGTCTACTGTTTCTTATAATCTTGTAGATGTTACTTCTCTCACAATGTTTCAACTTTGTGATTGACTTCCTCTCTTTTTTTTTGTCTTGAATTTGTGTAACACAGTGGAGGAAGAGACCTTAGCGGAAACAAACGGACTAACAAGGCTCAGTCGTTTGACCAGGTGTTTGAGCACTCAAATGAAGCTTTAAAACTAAGTTGCGAAATGGGTTATCCCGTTCGTGTTGTCAGGTTAGCTGTTATTTGAGCAAATGTCCATTGTGCTCAACATCTTACTTACATTCTCGGTTTCCTATACTTAAAAAATTGAACCAGAAAATTATATATATGTAATGCTTTTCTTTGCACTGAAATTGCTTTCTGGAGTTAATAAGAGTAGATTGTTTGTCCTAGAGAGTTAAGCTAAGGTGCAATTATCTTGAGTTAACATGCTATTCCCAAGATACACCTCATAATTTCGGTTACCTTTTCTGCATCTTCATTGAAAAATCCCAGTTCTAACTCTTTAATTCCTTTCCATGTATAACCAGGTCTCACAAGGAGAAACGTTCTGCATATGCCCCTGAGGAAGGATTGAGATATGATGGGGTTTACAGGATCGAGAAGTGCTGGCGAAAAGTTGGAGTGCAGGTACTCATAGAGCAAGCATGCTCTTTTTTTATTTATGTAGAGCTGGATTCTTTTGCTGACCTATTCTTTTTGTTTTCCATAGGGTTCTTTTAAGGTCTGTCGATACCTCTTTGTTAGGTGTGACAATGAGCCAGCACCATGGACAAGGTTTGACCTTATTTTCTTGAAAACGCCTTTTTCTATATTTTTCCATTTGAGTCTAACACTATCATATGCTGCAGTGATGAGCATGGAGATCGGCCAAGACCATTGCCAAACGTTCCAGAGCTTAAGATGGCAACAGACCTGTTTGAAAGAAACGAGAGTCCATCATGGGATTTCAATGTAAGTTCAGCTTTTCTTAATTTCTCTTAACTTATATAAGAATCATATATGAAGTCTTTTCTTCTGTAATCTCTACTCTGCACCTGCTTCTGATATGTTTACTTGATCAGGAAGGTGAGGGTCGTTGGGTATGGACAAGGCCTCCACCTCCTAGTCAAAAGCCAGTTCATGCTTTGGATGCTAAAGAGACGAAGAGTCTGAGGAAAGCCATTAAAGCGGCACACTCGAATTCTACCAGCAAAAAACTTCTCAACGGTTTGAAGTCCAACTCTCTGCTTCTGCTGTTATCAATTTCTGTTGTGGTTTGTGTTGTGCAGTCCATGCGTTATATCACTTCTTCACTGGTTTATCAAACTGTTGTTGGATATAATCGTTGTTGTGTTGATGCAGAGTTTAAGTGCCTAATCTGTAAGGACGTGATGACTCTTCCTGTCACAACGCCTTGTGGTCATAGCTTTTGCAAAGGATGCTTAGAAAAGGGATTCGCTGGGAAGACACTTGTGAGGGAAAGAAGCAGAGGTGGACGGACACTTCGTGCACGGAAGAACATCATTAACTGCCCTTGTTGCCCCACAGACATTGCTGAGTTTCTCCAGAACCCACAGGTGAAAATCATCATCTTTTTCACTTTCAGTTAATATATTTTTCTCCCACATATATGCTGTTGCATTAGCATGGATTTGATGGGCTCTGCTAGAAATGGATGAAGTTGGTTCAGTGATAAATCATATGTTAATATCAAATACTTGCATAACATCTATAGAGGTTCTCTTAATTAAGATATTCGGAATAGTTGTGGTAGCAAAATTTTCAGACCAAATATCTGGAATAGTTGTGTAGGAAAGGCTTATACAGAAATTTGAGTGGATTGTATTTCATTTAATGCTTTAGTTCATTGATGGTGATCTGGTGCTACGCATTTTTACCAAAGTTAGGAATCGTCATTGTATTCTAAACGTAACTGTCATACGCTATTTACCAAAATGATCATACCAAACATTCTGAGGAATAGTCTGTCTTGTGAATTTGTCACTGTATTCTAAACGTAAACGTGTGTAAACAGGTCAATACAGGAGTAATGGAGGTGATTGCGAAGCTGCAGAACATGGAAAAAGCGGAAGGCGCAAGTGTAGATGAAAAGGAAGAGAAAGCGGAGACAGAGCCTGAAGAAGAAACTCCGATAGTGACTGAAGAAGCTGAACCACCGAGGAAAAGGGCCAAAAAGTTGACTCTGACACAGTAGTTTCTGCGACTGCCGTGGAATCTGTCATGAACTAGATTGGTCGTGAGCCTTTGTAAAGGCCTTTTTCTTTTTCTTGGATCGAGAGACAAAAAGGTTTTTTTGTTTGTTTTGTTTTGGAACATAAGACCGAAACACTCTAGTATCTGATTCGCTGTTTTCGGTACGCAGCAGTTGTGTAACCTATCGCTAAGTAAGTTCGAATTATAAAACTTTAGAACTTGGTTTCACTAATTATATTACCAGTCTATTTTATGAGCGTTTCCTCGAATATTTGAAACTTTTTTCAAGAAACTTTTGGAAAAGGAAAAGGAAGATGGTAAAACTCATAAACATAATAAAATCGAGAAATCTACTAATTTATGACGACTAATTGGAAATCTTTAAGGCCTAGATCATAATAATTGGGAGAAAAATAAAAGCTTTTATCCACTAAATATTTGATTTATCTGGTTATGGTAAAGATATTGAAGTGGTTTATGATTTATGATATGCATTTATGGGAAAATGAAAGAAGATAAGGTAGTGATAGGTAAATTTGTTTTTTGGTATTAAAATCTCAATAATTTTGGACCAAATTATTAAAGGGAAAATTAGAAATAAATGATGTTTTTACTATCAGTTTGTCCATTTATACCTTCTTAACCAATTGTTTGAAACCGATTAATTTAAAACCGATTATGTCCTCTAATTATTAAATTTTATATAGTTATTAATAATAGAAATAAGTCATTGAAATACCAAAAAACATAAAAACAGAAAAACTTTCTTTATTTCTTTATTGTTATTTCTGCTTCTTTAGCTGATTTTCCCGATCTCTACTTCATCACCGACTGTTCTCTCTGCAATAATTGACTTTTTTACTTAACAAAATCAATTTTGTTCTTCATCAAAACAATCTTTTTATTCTTCAAAAAATTTGCTCTCTTATTACTCAACAATTCTTCTTCTTAAACCAATTTTTCCGTCAACGCCAAAGAAGGTAATCGATCTTCGCTGTTTTCTCACCAAATTTTGTCCACACAAAAATATCAATAAGATATCATGATGTTATTATTGCTGATTAAGTCTCTTATTGTGATGGTTCATAACATGAACTAGAAAATTAGAGAGTTATTGTAGTAAAATCCTTTAATCTGTTCTGTCTTTTTTTTCTCATCTTTTACTTAGCTTTCCAGAAATTTTTGAAATAAGCAGTTGTCAGATTTGTTGTTTGCAGCTCAATGTAATAGAAAAATACGAAACATTAATTTTGTTTCACTAATTAGCTGGGTATTGATTTTGAAGAAGTTTTAGGTTGAGATAATTAGTTTAAAAATCTGTCTTTTTACAATGTTTTCATGTTTTACGTTTTGTAGGTATGAAAGATGAATTGCCCAAATGCATGTTTCAATTATTATCCAAAATAGGTAGAATATATGTTCTAAACTTCGCAGAACATGTATATTATGCAGAACATGTATATTATGCAGAACATATATTATTCAAAATCGCAGAACATTTAGAAACTGCAGAAGAGACATTCTAAATCTTGCAGATCATAGAGAATTCGCAGAACAAACATTGTGAAGCTCGCAGAACATATCAGAAAAGACTTTGTAAATATTTTCTTGTTACGATTTTGGAATAATATAATTTTTTTGTTTCCTTAAATATTTTTTTTTCCTTTTTAGTATTTAAATCGATATTAAAAACAATTTTTAAAATGAAATTAGTTATTGAAAAATATTTTTGTAAGGGTAATTTAGACACAATTGTGACAACAAAAATAAAGGTGTAGATGGACAAACTCATAGTAAAAACATCATTTATTTCTAATTTTCCCATTATTAAATCTGTAAATAAATAAATTTGGGCCTTATATTTGTATAAATAATAAATAATTCTGGTCATGAAACTTGTGCAAATGCAATTCTTGCACATAGAAAGACCCAAACCAGCTTCTATTTATTCAAATAACAGTACTTTATAAAAAATGACTAAGTTAGTTGTAAACTTGTAATGAAACATAATTTTATACACAGAGCCGTGCTTTAGGAGGTGTTATTGGATTAATGATGTTTTAAATATACTAAATTTAGACGTGCGTACACGCGAGTTCTTTTAAAATATGTTTTATTATAAACAATAAAGTATTCTGTGTAAATTTTATATTTATAATTTTTTAATAACTAATGTATTATTTCGTAAATATAGTAATTTATTTCTTATTACATTTATTCTGTATAAAACTATATCAGAATTTAATATATATTATCAATTAATTTATAACAATATATATTGTTTTTAGAGAGACCTATCATCTTATAGATACCGATCAAACATAGTTGTCCAATATAGTTTTATACACTTATCATTAGAGCTTTACAGACCCGACAAAATTGCTCGCTATACTTCCAGAAACACAATTGTCAAATTTTCTCTTTTTTTTGCTTTGCTAAATTGGTATAGAGAAATTTGTTTCCTATCTTAAAATTTGGCAGGAAATATTTTTTTTCTGATTATTTTAAATCTCAAATATTTTTTTATTTTAACTGTAATTTATTCAATATGGATTTGATTATTATCTGCAGAATAAATAAAATAATTTAGTTTTCCGATCCTAATATACAAATAAATAGACTTTTGCAATTTGTTCAATATGAATCTGATTATTTGCTGCAGAATAAATAAAATAATTCAGGTTTGCCATTTTAATATATAAATAAATAAACTTTTCATATTTTTCAAATATAATAATGATACATAGAACATATCTAACTAATGTAGTTTTTTTTAATGATGGCTTTTTTAGTAGTTTTGATAGTCAGTGGTATTTTTATTTGAATTTCATACTTATAAAATTTTTCCTAAATAATGTATACTTACAAAATATATATTAAGCTTTTGAATCAAATTTTAATTTGAATTTCATACTAAAAATTAAGAGATGATTGTGTCATCCTTTCTGTCTAATAAATAGACTCATTTTTCATGTTTTCTTTGTGGTCAAACAAACAAAAAAAATACCATATTATTTGCTTTCATGAAATCTTTTTACATTAATAGCTCAATTCTTTATTTTCTACTGCATAAAATCTCAAACCACCACCACTATCATAATATGGATTCTATTCTCGAAAACCTTCTTTTCGGTCATCTTTGATGTCAGCTTCACTTCCCTAACATAGTCAAATCTCATACTATTATTTCACCAACCTTTTAATACAAAATTTAAATTGTATTTACAACTTATAAAATAATATTTACCAACAAATTTTTACTAACAAATATAATAAAATAGATTTTAAAATTAAAATATTTAATATATCATAAATCTGCGCAACGAGCAGACATTCTTCTAGTCTATCTAATATAATGATGTGTCAAGCTGTGGGAGAGGACTCACCTCTGTTCATATATATAATTAAATTTTTTTATCAAAACTTGACCAAGTTACTAAACACATAGTCAATATGTCATTTCAAATCCATTAAAACAAAGATATATTCGTTTTAAATATATAACCAGAAAACTAAAGCATACTGTTAGAGATAGATTTCGCACCCCCTCCAAAAGCCCTACATCAATTGAGATATGCCCACTTCAAAACCTAAAAAATATTTAGGTCGGCAAGATTAATGGAAATCCGCTATTTATCTGATAAGTTCCGAATAAATGGAAGGTCGGCCTTATCAAGAAGGAAGCTTTCCTATTTCAACATGAGAAGTTATCTCCAGAAGACCGACTTCGTCGGGCTATAAATAAAGAAGTCATTCACTTCTCAGAATATCTTCCAATCATCCAAGAATCTCCACACTTGGAGAAGATCTTATTCTCTCTAGATTTCATATATTTAACTCTCTTATAACAAACTACGATTGGCTTGATCCCTTCAAAAGGGTATGTAGGCAGCCTTTTTCAAGGTTCAGCTGTTTCTTAATAAACATCCGAAAATCCTCTCTCGAGACCTAAGGCAAACTAACAATCTATTGTTCTAAGTTCTCAAGTCTACTTTATTACTATTTTAGGTCGGACGACTTTACTCCGACGACCTAAAATCTTTGTGTACCTTCGAACTCTGGCTATTCTTTATAAAAAAATCTCTTTAAACCCACAAACTCTTGTTCTTTTATAAGTCGAATTTGAGTTATCACACATACCAAACCAAAAAATGATATGGTAAGTTATCAAAGGTTCAAGCAAGGAGGAAATAAGTCTCAAAAGAAAAAGGGGGAGGTTTCAAACTTAAAAATCCATCTGGTAAAGTTACGTGTGGTGAAGTGACAGCGTTTATGATAGCCTTGATTTACTTCTGTAAATTCCTTTATGATTTGAATAATTCAAAAATTCAAAGTCGTGTTCCCCAATTATGGGATTCAATTTGGTATAACCCCCTGATAGATTATAATATTAAATTTTGTATATGCAAGTTCATATTGCTTCAAATATATAAATGGAAGACAATTTCTAATGGGTAAATCGTTGACCGTAAATTAAGGTTTAAAATGATATAAACTGGAAAATTTGAACAGATAACTGGTTATATCTTCGTATGGTTTTCTAGTTGATAACTTAATAAAACGATGGATATAATTAAAATTTGGAAAATAAAATACCGAGGAAAAGGGCCAAAAAGTTGACTCTGACACAGTAGTTTCTGCGACTGCCGTGGAATCTGTCATGAACTAGATTGGTCGGTGAGCCTTTGTAGAGGCCTTTTTTTTTTTTTGGATCGAGAGACAAAAAGGTTTTTTTGTTTGTTTTGTTTTGGAACATAAGACTGAAACACTCTAGTATCTGATTGGCTGTTTTCGGTACGCAACAGTTGTGTAACCTATCGGTAAGTCAGTTCGAAACTATTGCCAGGCTAGTTTATCTTAATTTTGAATATCGAAATGGTTTTATGCAGATTCTTGTTGTGCTCATGGGGTTAAACTTTTAGTAGTTAGAGTCTCTAGTTGCTGTTACCTAAATTATAATATTTAAAATAAATTGATTATTTTTATTGCATTAATAATTAAATTAAAAATCATTATGTAAGGCTAAAAAAAAAAAAAATTGTTTCTTTTTTTTTGGTGATTCTGGATTATACAGTACACTAAGAGATTGGCCCGCACGCATGTGCGGATATAAACAGTTCTAAAAATATAATTACCTAAATATAATATTTAAATTCATCTCAAATATTTTAATTTTTTGTAGTATATGAAACTCAAAGTCAGTGTTAAATTATAAAGCATATGATATAATTTTAATTAAACTTTTTGTTACAACAAAAAG